CCGACTTCTGGGCGAAGGTTTCGGCCACAAGCAGGGGGAAGACCAGGGAGGCATCGGCATAGACCTGCGGAGGGGACCTGGGTGAACCGCGGGGCCTGTGACCGCATTCTGGGAGACTGTGCCCTGCACCCCAGCTGACCACCCTCACCTTGACAGGCCGTGCGTCCACCCGGATCTTGCCCCAGGAGACTGCTTCATCTGGCCTGGCACCAGAATCCGAGCCGTCGAATTCCTGGGCCGTGTTGATGTAGACAGCATAGTCGGCCCCGTTCCGCTGTGGGGAGGGGCAAGGTGAGCTGGTCAGGCAGTTACTGGAGACAGGCAGGCAGAAAGACACGGACGCAGGGGACTAGCTAGAGGCTGAGGGAGGTGTTCTGCATGAAGGAAGCCCTTAGTGGCCCCTTGCTTCAAAGGAAAGTCCCATGTCAATGCGTGGCCAGAGCTGCCCCCAACCCACCTGCTATCTAGCAACTACTCTCCTGCATCTGTTCAGCAGGGACTGCCACCAAATACACAGAAGACTCCCGTCCTGGTCTGGGTCCCATCACTGCTTACCCAGAACCCGCCGTTTGTTCCCCCCACAGAAGCCAGAGGGCGCCCGTGAGGACGCGAGTGGTGGCCCTGGAGGCCTGACTGGTTATTTACTTCCCGTTCCCCTTCACCGGCCTCCTAAGTGTTCCTTGACTTCAGTCAGGCACCTCAAAGCCTTTGCGCTGACTGTTTTCTCTGCTCACAAGTTGGATTTCCCAGAGCTTACCTTTTCTGAAGCGCACGCCTCTCTCTTGCCAATTGTCATCCCTCGTTTTTTCCCATAGCAGTTTCTGCCGCCCGACGTGCACGGCCCTGGTGTGCTGCCCTTCGCCCTGTCTAGAACCTCACTCCGGGAGGGCAGAGATTATGGCCTGTCTAGTCCACGGTTGTCTCCCTGGCACGTGGCACAGACGTGTCTGCATGGCAAGCCCAAGTGCCACCCTCGCTAGGGACCGGGTACTCTAACCCCACTCACCATGAGGTTGGCATTGGCGATGTGGTGCTTGACCACACCCCCGCCCAGGATGATCATGCCGGTGCGCTTGGCAAAGATGGCCTGTGTGTTGATGAGCCTCAGGTCTGGGAGGAGAGCGCCGTGGTCAGGCTATGGGCCCAGCCAGCCCTCCTCCCCTGCTCCTCCGTGGCCCCAGCACCTCACCCTCAACGATGTCCAGGACCAGGCCTGGCTTCTTGTAGGAATGGAAGAAGATCATGTCGCCCAGGGAGCCATCTGTGAGCGCTGGGCTCAACACGGGGATGTGGTTCTGGAAAACAGGAAGACAGGAGAGCAGCTGGGGCTCAGAGCCCAGGGTGGGCAGGCTGGTCCCCATCCCAGTGGGATCCCCTCCTCTCTGCCTGATTCTGGGCAGAGTGCTTAAGTTCCCTGGGCCTCCGTTTCCTCAACTAAAGTGCTGAGGCGGCACCTCCCTCACAGATGAAGAGGCATACGGGATGAAACCCAAGGCAAACGCTAAGGATCGTGTCTGACAAAGACTGGGAGCTCTCGTTATTCCGGCTGCTGGAGCTCAGCCTCTGAGGAGCGTGGGACCATGTGCCCTGCCCCACGAGGGTTTCAAGGCACGACCCCAGCTGATCCCAGGTGGTCTAGGAATAGAGCCAGGATACCAAGACCGCACTCTGGCTGTGCAACCTCAGACAAACCACCTAACCTCTGCATCAGGTTCTTCACCTAAAAGTGGAGATGACGAAAACCATTCTGGCTCCCCAGGTGGCTATGAAGACGAAACCAGCTAACACATGCCCAGGCCTGGTATCTGCCCCACCCAGGCCCTCACCTTCTGGGCCCAGTAATACACGGATTCTGGGTTGTTGATCTCCTTGCCCAGCCGGGCGATCATCTTGGAAGGTGTCCACTTCACACCCTAGGAGGAGACATTGGCTTCAAGCAGCAGTGCCTCCCCTGACTCCTACCATGCCTGCCCCCAGGTCACTCCTGCCCCACCTCTGTGTTCTGCTCCAGCACCATCTGGTCCAGAATGGGCATCAACCAGTCCTCAAATTTGCAGTAATTGTCATTGGGCACCAGTAGGTTTCCAATCCTGCGAACATGAGGCATGTGGGCAGCGGGTCCCAGGACCCTCAGCCCAGCTCCCTTGCCCAGCACCACCCAGGGTCTCCACCTGTTGATCCCGTTCTCACGTAGCTCCTTCCCCCTGAGACTGAAATCGCCCAGGTACGTGGGTGCCAAGCACTTGATGAAATCTTCCTCCACACCACCAGCTGTGGTCACTAAGACGTCCACCTGCAGCAAGTCAGTGAGGTTGGCCCGGGAAGGGGCCTGTCCTCATCCCAGGCATGGCTTGTAATTCCCAGCTCTCATCCAGTGACCCTTGGGGGAAGCTCTACTACAAAACAAAATTAGATCGTGTCCCTCTGCTTAAAACTGACTCTGTGGGGGGCACCTGGGTGGCTCAGTCAGTTAAGCGTCTGACTCTTGATTTCAGAGCAGGTCATGATCTCACAGTTCATGGGTTCAAGCCTCACATTGGTCTCCATGCTGACAGTGGTGAACCTGCTTGGGATTCTCTCTCCTCTCTGCCCTTCCCCAGCTCACTCTCTCTCTCAAAATACATAAACTCAAAAAAAAAAAAAAAAAAAAAAATGACCCTGTCTCCCTATGTCATTTAAATGATCGAGAATCTTGCCCCTAAGACCAAGGCCACAATCCCACCAGGTCCCTACCATGTTGTGCTGCACGAGGTAACGGATGGTCTCACGGAGGCCTGAACTGATGAGATTGGATGTGTAGCCCAGAAAAATGGTGCAGCCAGTAAGTGGGCGGCGGCTCTGGGTCAAGTCTGCATGATGGTCTTCATCCTGCGACAGCGGCTCTAGTTTCTTCTCTATCTAGATGGAAAGGAGGGGTCAAGTTACCCTCACCCTCTGACCCCAAACTAGCCGGAGGACTCGCCCCCAGGTTCTGCCCACTCAGGGATGGGGGACCACTTCTACCTGGAATACCTGGAACCAGGGAACGAACGTCCCCTGTGCAGGCTCCTCCCCATTCACAGCCCAAATCTCAGGGCACACGCTCAGGTTTTACCCCTCTTTCAAGGAATTGGAGAGCATGACCTTTGCAGGCCCGGCCTCCTTCCCTATCGGAAAAAGCAAATCCGAGCTCAGACCCCGTCCTGACTCAGGCTCCTCCTCAACTGCACCGTCCAGAACTCTCACTGGTCACCTATAACCTGCCCCCTATCTAGAATCATTCGGAAAGTAGGACGCGATGAGGGTGCAGGAACAACGTCCTCTTCCCAGCGCAGAAACCCCCGCCCGGAACGGGCCCTGCCTCTCTCCACCTATTGGACCGCCCAACAGAGGACACTCCTCCTTCTCAAGGGAGCCCCCGCCCCCTTCAAGTGCTGCATTGCTGCTACTGGTGACCACGCCCCCTCCATCCAGGAAGTCCCGCCCCAGGCGTCACCATGGCGTTGACTTGCTGCACTGCGAGCCCGAAGTTGGTGGCCTGGAAGCCAGTGGTGCCGAAGGCCTCCAGTAGCGCACGGTAGTCCACGCCGCGGTTGAAGTCGTAGCCTCGGACTTGGGAGCTCTCGGACGGCAGCGCCGAGCTGTGCTTCAGCACAGCGGCCAGCGCCGCTGCAGGTGCCTCCCCCTCCGGAGGACCCTCCATGCTCCTGCGGCCGCACTCTCAGATCACAGCCACCCCAGGCCAGGCCTCCAGCGGCCTCGAAACGCGCTAAGCTCCGGCACGCTCTTCTGTAAGACAGTGCAGGAAGTAGGGCTTGGGAGAACCTGCCGAAGGGGACGGGAAGTTGCTTGGTCACATGACTCTCTGTGACTTCCGTAATCCAGGACGCGTCCATCTTTGCGCGTGCGTTCCGTAATACGGAAGCCGCGAGGAGCCGTTGTTTCCTTTCGCCCCTTGTCAGCCCGAGATGAAGAGTCCTACTTTTACTGCCGCCTGCTGGACACCCACCGCGTTGCGCGGCGCTCTCCCGTTCCTTTCTGTCCCGTTGGGGGAAAAGGATGGCTTCTTAGACGTCGCCCTTGGACAGGATTCGAGTCATCAGATGTCAGATAGTTTCTGCCTCTGGGCGTCTCTCATCAAACGGTTTAGTGATCCCTGTTCGTGCCTCACAGGTCTCCAGAGACTCCACAAGCTACCTAACCCTCTGATCTTCCCCTGGCAGCAGCGGCTGTCGCTTCTTCCGGGAAGCCTTCCCTGACCTTCCTCAAAGTAAGGGACCTCCTCTGGGATCCAAGGCTGACGTCTCCCTCCAGCAAGGCTGTGAGACCTTCGAAGGCGGGGTCTGTATCGTATGGGTCCTCAGAGCCCTGGACGGGGTCTGGTCCAGGGGGATTCTTTTAACAAGTCACTCTACAATTTATGGAGTCTGTACTATACGTTGAGCCCTGTGTGTGGCGCGGCAGCTTTATCAGTGAATGAGATGCACGCCCTGCCCTACTGGAGTCCACAGTTTGGGGAGCTAGAAAGGTAACAACAATAGCGGTAAGTGTTATGGAGGATTCAGAAATGATGATGTGTCTTTGAATTAGGGATGGATGGAGGGGTAACCGGTGGCCTTATTTGCAGGGACAGGTAGTTAGGGAAGGACACCGAGGAGGTGACATTTGAGCCAAGGCCAGAAGGCCAAGAAAGTCCCCATATGTGAAGATTTGGGGAGGCCGTTCCCCCATCGTCCCCCGTTGGTAAAGAAACCTTTGCCAGTGCAAAGGTCCTGAGGCCAGAGATTAGCCTACTTAATTGGAAGAAGAGACCATCTTTGACAGTCTCCACTTGGATCTCAAACTCACCACCTCAGTCCCTTTCCTCCTAACTCTGATCTCCCTGAAGTCTTCCACACCTCAACAAAGAGCCCTCAACTCAGCAAAGGAGCGCTCCACACACCTGGTAGGTTCAAAACTGGGGAAGTGAACTTGATGTCTCCCCTTCTCTCACACCCACATCCATCCCTCAGCACAGCCACCAAGTGCTACCCACAAAGTAGGTCCCAAATCCAGGTGCTTTTTTTTTTTTTTAAATAGACTTGCCCTAGCACATTATATTAGTTTCAGGTGTGCAACTCAATGGGCATTTGTATCCAGGTGCTTCTCATTCTCAGCCTCCACGCGGGGCTACCTTCCCTCTGATTCATCTTCCAGCTGTGGCCAGAGAGCTCATTAAACAGAAGCCAGGTACATCATTCCTTTTTAAATGTTGTTATTGTTTAGAGAGAGACGGCGCGAGAGCGGGGGAGAGGGGCAGCAGGAGAGAGCGAGAGATCGAATCCCAAACAGGCTCCACGCCCAGCACAGAGCTCGATGCAGGGCTTCGTCCCACGACCCTGGGACCATGACCTGAACCGAAATCAAGAGTCAAACACTCCACTGGCTGAGGTAGCCAGGCGCCCCCACCAATTCTTTTTTATTGTGGTAAAATGTATATAACAAAATCTATTATCATAATCATTTTTAAGTGTTTATTTTTGAGAGACAGAGCAGGAGACGGGCAGAGAGAGAGGGGACAGAGGATCCCAAGCAGGCGCCGCACAGACAGCAGAGAGACCTAGCTGAAGTAGGACGCCCAGGCGCCCCTATTATCATAATCACTGTAAGGCGTACGGTTCCACGGCATTAAGCACATTCACACTGTTGTACAAACATCATCACCATACATTTCCAGAACCTTCTCATCTCTCCAAACTGAAACTCCGCCCCAGGAAACACTAACTCCTTACCCTTCCCCCCGGCCCCTGGTTTCCACCATCTGCTTCCTGTCTCTATGGATTTGACTCCTCTAGGGACCTCACATAGATGGGATCGTGCATTATCGGTCATTTTGTGACTGGCTCATTTCACTTAACATAATGTTCTCAAGGTGCATCCGTGTTGTAATGTGATTTTTTACCAGATCCCGCTGGATGCCTTGAGAAGGGCGGTGGGGAGCGGGGGCAGTGGGGAAGGGAAGAACAGGGGAGACCAGAGCAGAGGTAACTGCACAGGTCTGAGCCGGCAGAGGTGGGCGCAGGACCTGGGAGATGCCAACAGGTGTGGAGAGAAGTGACCAGACTGAGAACCTAATTTGAAGTTGATCTGAGGGTTCCTGGGAAAGGATCAGAAAGGGGACACCAGAAAGGGAGGATTGAAGGGGTTCAAGATTTGGGCCAGGGCAGTTGGGTGGATGGTGGTGAACTTGGGGGCAGAAGATCGGGGAGGTGGGGAGAGGATAATCTGGAGCCCAGCTTTGGCCGAGTTAGATGAGAGACCCCCGAGACATCAGTGTGACCGACTGAAGAGCAGGAAGCTCTTTGGGCAGGTCTGAAATCAGGGACGGGGCTGGGATGGGGACAGGTGGAGCCATCAGCATAAACAAGTGGATGGAGTAATCTGAGTGTAGATGGAGGGGGAGAGGCAGGCCCGCACCTGAGCCAGGGTACACTCTATACACGGTGGGGAGCAGAGGCCGGGAACCCCGCCTTCCCCTTAGCCAAGGTGACATGTGACACCAGTTCAGCCACTGGGCCCCCTGGGGCAGGGACCCCCCTCAGCTGAGGCAGCTGCTACCGCTGACATTTCACTCCACGAGTGTCCAGGCTTCAAAGTCTCTGCAGGGGTGGGGGAGGAGAGGAGGGGGCTGAGAGGCCGGGCTGGCAAGGGAGGGAGCCAGAACCAGGCTGCTGGAGGACTGAGCCGCCGGGAATCCGCTGGAGTCCTCAGCTGAAGTATGTGGTCCTGACGGGGCTCGGGGAACCGCCACCCCCTTCCCACAGTCCCCAGAGGACGCAAGAGGTGGTTGGGAGACTCTCAGGTAGCCCCTAGGGCTCAAGGTCTGGAATCAAGCCCACTGCCTACGACCCTGCTCGCTTTCGTGCAGATGTCCAGCAAGGTGGCCATTGGCAGCGACATCGGGCAGGCCCGCCGGGCCGTGGAGCAGCTGCGGGTGGAGGCGGGCATCGACCGCATGAAGGTGAGGATCAGGGCGGCACGGGCGTGTCCGGGAGAGGGGGCGGGCGGACAGCCCGGGGCCAGCTGACAGGCCGGCCCGCAGGTGTCCAAGGCGGCCGGCGACCTGCTGCAGTTCTGCGCGGAGCAGGCCAAGAGCGACCCCTTCCTTGTGGGCATCCCGGCTGCCACCAACCCCTTCAGGGAGAAGAAGCCCTGTGCCATCTTATAACTCATGGCCCCGACCGCCCAGGAGGCCTCAATAAAAAGGAAGTGAATGATCCTCGGGACGTGGCTTGGCCAGGCTTCACGGGGACAGAGGGGGACCACAGACTCGCACCCCCCCACCCCCCCCCTTGGGGGGCAGGTAGGAGCCTGGTTATATAGGTTATATACGTTTAATAGGCCCCTTTTTTTAAAGTTTTTTTTTTTTTAACATTTATTTGTTTTAAGACAGAGAGACAGAGCATGAACGGGAGGGTCAGAGAGAGGGAGACACAGAATTAAACAGGCTCCAGGTTCTGAGAGCTGTCAGCAGCATCCCACGCTGGGCTCGAACCCACCTGACTCACAGGTGAGATTCATGGCCTGAGTCGAAGTCGCCGCCAACCGACTGAGTTACTCAGGCTCGGCCCCTTTGGCTTTCTGTGGGGTGGGAGAACAGACTGAAGAGGGGCTCCTGGGGCAGAACTGAGATGAGGCTGGGCTGGACCGGGAGGGAAGAGGTGGACAGTTGGGGGTTGAGGAAGTGAGAAGTTAGATCTTGACCTACGGGCTGCTCGTCCTGCCAGCTCCCTGCAGCTCCTCCCAGGGAGGCTGGGCCTAATTCCCCACCCTTATGTATATGTGATCAGCAGCACAGATGCCTTGCAGAACATGACTGTTGACACGTCAGGGATGAGCTGGAGTGTCGCCCCTAAAGGAAGCCTGGACTCGTCCTTAGTGCTCCTCGCATTTCTGTGCCCCTGGAAGCTGCCTGGCTGCCTGTTCTCCCAGTGAACCCACAAACACTTTAAGATGCCCGCTCCTGATGATCCTTTCAAGTCTCCAGACCTGGAGCCACATCTGGGTCCCCCACTTTTGGGGCCCACCTCCAGGCCTTCCCGCGCAGGAATGCCGAAAGGCAGCTGGCACTCCTCCCCATCCCAGATTCAGGCTCCCATCCCCCTTCCTCACAGAGGGCCACCACTTGGAAGATGATGGCAGATCATGATGGCCACCCGGGTGCCTCGGGGACCTGTGTAGGCAGAGGGAGAAGGCCGAGTATCCACTCGGCCTCAGACTGACAGATCCGCCTGTGGGGATGGGGTGGCCTCTAATGAGCACCCCCAGACAGGCAAGACTCTGTTTTAGTGGAGCTAACATTCTAGATGAGGAGACAAGAAACAGTGGGAAGAATATAGAACGATCACACAATATCGGAAGGTTATACGCTCTAAGGGGTGGGGAGGCGAAAGGGCAGAGATGAGCTGGAGAGATGGCAAGTGTAAGTTGGTCAGGGATGGGTTCTCGAAGGTTAACATTTGCCCCAAATTCTGAGAGCAGGAAGATCTTGAAGTGTTCAAGGCCAGTCAGTGAACAGTAGGTGTAAAGACACCCAGCTGAGAGCACCCCTGGCTCAAAGAAGAGAAGAGCGAAGGGAGCTGGACAAGGAAGATCTGCCCCCTCTCTTCCTGCTGACTTCCTGCTGCAAGGTTGAACCGGCTTATTCACATCGGCTCAAAGGCCTCTCCCTCCTGTTTTGGGGATGGTGAGCTGTCCGGTGTAACCAGCCTCGGGATGTAGTGTTGGGGAGGGGGACATAGAAGGTCGATGCATGCCCACTCTTACCTCCTCCTCAAAGGCACCACAGCCTGGATCTTTAAAAGAAACACAAGTGGGAGAAGTAGGTCGCTCTGCAGCAGCTCAGCCTCTTCTGGAGGCATCAGGAGGCAGGAGGAGGCTGATGGAGTCTCAGCATCCCCCTTCACTGCATTCACCACCGTGACCTGGGAGTCTGAAGGAAGGAGAATCAAATTCAGGGTTTGTGAGTCACACGGGTCGCGGGCTGCAAACTATTCTGATGCCTCTGGCTAGGATTCTGGGTAAGCCTAGCCTTCTGTGGTTCAAGTTTTTCATCTATAAAATAGGCACAATGGTTGGTATATCGCAGTGTCATGTCCTTTTTCTTTTTTTTAAGTTTATTTATTTGGAGAGAGAGAGAGAGAGCTTGGGCACAGCACAAGCAGGGAGGGGCAGAGAGGAGAAAGAGACAGAATCCCAAGTAGGTTTTGGCACCATCAGCCTGAACCCGGTACTCACCAATCAGAGATGACCTGAGCTGAGATCAAGAATCTGTCGCTAATCCCACTTCTGTACCACCCAGGCTTCAGAGTCAAGTTTCAAAGCAAGTAAGCAATATTGATGAAGCCTAACATTAACCCTTGACATTATTTGAAACAGTTGTCATTATTCTCTGGGTGAAGCAGTTGGGTTTGGGTTGGGGGATCTGGTGACCTTAAACGTGGGAGCAATGTAAGAGATGCTCAAGCAGGAGTTCGTTGTAAATCTAGAGAGGCCTTTTGCTTCTGATTAACAGTTGAGCACCAGCCCTTTTGAGCTTTTTGCACCGTTTTCTAGCTGAAGAGCAACTTTCTAGTTGAAGCAAGTTTGTTGTGCACAGGGCTGTGAGAATTACATTAGGTGAAATGCCTGACGAGGCAGTAGGGTAGGGTAAGAAGAAATAGTGAAACAGAGGGCAACTGACTGCCTCATTCAGTAGTGTGTGACTCTTGACTTAGGTTGTGAGTTTAAGCCCCCATCGCTAGTATGGAGCCTCCCTTTTAAAAAAAGGAGGGAAAAAGTCTGGATTCAGTACTCAAAATCCACTAGATGGGGAGAGATAGCAAAGACTTCATCACACAAGGGCTCTCATACCTGGACCACAAAAGCAGTGTGGGTCACTTTATTCTGTCCAACTCTCCTCTCCCCAAGGCTTCAAGGACCAATGGGAACTTGACTTATTATTATTGTTATTTTCTTTTTTGAAACTTGGACATATTAAAAGAAGGTGGAGCATTAAATTTTTCTCTACCATCTTCCAACTTCTCTCCCCCACCTGACCCCTTCATTCGGGAGCAATCCTCAACCCTGAACAGAAAATTCCCCACACCTGTTCCTGAAACTTCCCGTCCCAGCCCCCTCAATGTCACTCTTCCTTCTGCTCACGCCCACCTGGGGGGCGGGTTCCAGACCCCCGGGTTTTGAGTCACAGCCAGAGAGTCCTGTTGGCAACGCGCGCGCGGCAGAGACGGACGGTAGAAGTTCTGGGGCCTAAAGCGAGGGAAGGCCATTGCGCATGCGTAGGCGGCGGGTTTCCGCGTTCTCCAGCCGGGAAGCTGGCACAAAGGTGGGGAAACTGGATTGCTCCTGTAGGGAGTCTTCCCCGACTGAGGCGTTCGGTGCCATCAGGTCCTTCTGAAACCTGGGAGGCCCCAGTGGAGAGGTTCGGCACCTGTTTTTCATGAATGAACGGAGGGGGCTGACTTGCTAATGGAAAGTGGGCTGGAGAACGTCTCCTTCCTCCAGGTTGGGGCAAACTGACCTGCCTGCCCTGAAACCAAAAAGTTGAGGCAGTGCTGGCTTGCCTTGGGAGGCCTAGTTGATTAAGCCAATTCGGTAACAGTTGAAGTTTAGGGTGCGTGGCTGAATACAGTCAGTGACGGCACGAGGTGGGGGGGGGGGGTAAAAGCCACGTTTTTATTTTTTTTTATTATTATTTTTTAATTTTTTTTTTTGAACGTTTATTTATTTTTGGACAGAGAGAGATGAAAGCGCCGAACAGGAGGCAGAGAGAGAGTATATCACAGACCGAAACAGGCTCCAGGTCTTCAGCCATCAGCCCGGTATTCCTGACGCTGGGCTCGAACCCCTCGGACCGCGAGATCGTGATCTTCCGGTTGAAGTCGGTCGCTTAACCGATCATGCACGCACCCAGGCGCCCCAAAGCCACGCGTTTAAAGACAGTTTACGGCAGGCCTGGTAATGCTAACTTGATGATCTAATCCAGCAAACTATTCTTTATACCACTTGAATAAAGGGAAACTTGCTGCCCTAAAGCGGCAGGAGGTTGCCCACCTTATTATTGGCCTGGCTAGAAGAGGGCAGGCGCCCAGGTCTCCAGCTCCTCCCACTATCCTTGCCTGTTCCAAAGGGGTGCCTTACTTTTGTCCTCACAGGTATGAAAGGATTGGCTGAAGATGCCTTCATCATGATCTTCTGCCCTTGCCTAAATTTCCTGGGCTCCTTTTTCTAAATTTATTAACTTAGGCCTTTTGTTTCAGCGTTTATTAATATCATTTAGAATTTCATATTCATGTGGTTTTTCAGATCCGCATAAAAAGTATGAAACGGTACTGTTAAATAACACAAAATGCGGCAGAGGCTTCTTTTTCAGGAACGCAAAGGTGCTCCGCTCCCTTTGTCCGACCATTCTTCTTCCTTTGTCTCTGGGGTCTAAATCCACCCTATTGCAGCCTTCTCTGGTCTTTCCACGAGGGAAGGCGGCCGTGTTTCCTCCCTAGGAGCATTCTCTGGATGCAGGAGAAAGACACAGTTCAATTCCTGGAGGAGTGGGGGACAGGCGCAACTAGCTGTGGCCGAGAGGTTACCGGGTCCACTAAACACCTGAAGTCCCCATTGCGCCACCAAACCTGCCTCAGCAAAGAGCCGTTGGTCAGGCGGAGACACGCTGAGAAAAACAGACGTTGGGAAGACCTAACGACAGAGAGGCCAGGAGAGCTGCCTGGCTCTCCTGTCACGTGACCTGGTTCGGCGGGGCCCGGTTCTCCCGGAGCCAGGCCACGTGTTATGACTGCCTCTCCCCCATTGTTCAGCTGGGTCAGTTTGAACGGTGTACGGATGCCGCGCCCATCCACGGCCGTTTTTTTCTTTTTTTTTTTTTTTTTTTTATTCCTTGGCTCCCTCCTTCCGCGCGCGAGTCTCAGGAGAAGCCGCAGCGCACAGGCGCCGCTGCCGCTGTAAAGGGCCCGGTAAGCGGGCCTTTACCCGAGCGATCGGGCTCGGCCCGCTTGCGCTGACCGCCGTCAGTCCGGTTCAGGTGCCGCGCGCGGCCCGGCCGTCGGACCGCGCCTGACTGGGAAAGCGCCGACGTCCCGGTTTGGGCCCATTCTCGAGGCAGCGAGAACGGGCCAAGGGTGGAAACCGAGCCGGGCTTAGGGGTGGGGCCCGGGA